AGTGAAATTCTAAGTAAATATCTGAGGTTACTGACTGCTTGTACTGTTAGTTATTCTATTCTTCATTGCTGTGTTTTACTAAGAACCTAAATTCTTTTAAAGTAGCATTATCTGTGGAAGAATTTTACTTACATATACCTTCCTCTAAAAATCTACCAGCTTTGTTGCATTTTATTTAAATGTTTTAATTTTAATAACTTTAATTATATTTTAATAAATACATAATCAACTTGTGCACAGGGTAAATGAATATTTCTATATCTAAAGTAGGAAAAACCAATTTAAGAAGGTCATATTTTAAGGAATAGGTTATAATCCAATTTCTAGATAATAATCTTTAATGCTATGATCATTTTTCTTTCAGATATTGCTTTAAGATTCACTACTATTGTGGAATATTGTAGCTAACTATAACAGTAAATTAAAGAACAACCAATGGGTTTTGGGGAATCCTTGATTACTCCAAAGTGAATATAAAAGGTGTAGAAGCAAAACATAGCAAATAAATGCAAATTACCATATTTTGTATTCTGTGGTGTCAATAAGTTTTATGATAGCAAGAACTTAGCTTTCAGAGTAGCACTGGTAATATGGTTAAGTATCCAAAAATTTAAAAATCAGATTGTATAACAGATGGATCCCATTATTTTTTTAAATTATAGATAAATTTATTTTGTTTCTCCCTATAGAGAATTTTGAGTATTTAATTAAAGGCCTCATTGCCCCATCATTAAATTCAAAGAAGCATATCTAATGTGAATACTTAAGTGTAATGTCACTCATTAGTCTTTAATGAAGAGAAACTTATTCTTTCACTAGAAAACAGCTGTAAAAATAGTATCTGTCACCTAAAAATTATATATTCCTAAGATTATTAATGTGCATTAAATAATTATGTACAATTTTAATGTGTCTTAGTAGCAGTTGCTACTAAGGCTTCTTTCCTATTGGCTTTGCCTCTGTAAAGGTTGAATGATGTCATAAACCTAGCAATTCTCACAGGCTTAGGGTGTTCCCATTTACCTGTTAATGGTTTAGATTGAAGTCATTCAGGTTTTTTAGAACATCATTCTCTTCTACAACTTAATAACAAATTTCATGCCTTTGTCATAAAATTTGTCTTTAGACTGTTAAACTTCATCTGGATCTCTTTCCCTGTGTCCTAGTCTACACGAACATTGAGTGCCTTTCCCTAATGCCGGAAAACTGCATGCCAAAATACAGGGCACTAGAAGTTTGTATCAAATTCTCTATCGTCTCACACCATCATCCATATCCCTATTAGCCACACATATTATATTTTGACCTCTAGCTATTGAAATTCTATACGATATGTGTCTTACCACCAGCCTATGGTAATTTTTCAACCTGGTGTTGTTTTTTCTTTTATGACAATGAAAGTACTAATGGATTCTACTGATACACAACAAAACATTTAAACAAATAAATTTGCCAACATGGACAGATGAAAATTGCAGGTGGATGCCTCATAAACTGTCTACTTTATTTGTAGCCTTTCCATGGTGTAAACAGCCAGTGTTGTACTACTCAGCACATATCCTTTGGGCCAATCTAATAGATCTACTTGTTAGATGGTTATGTTTTTCTAGTGACACTGTGTCTTAATTTCTATTGCTGCGAAGAGACACCATGACAACAGCAAGTTTTTTTTTTGAGATTTTTTTATTTTAATTTTAAATAGCTTGTTTTACATGTCAATCCCAGTTCCCTCTCCCTCCCCTCCTCCCGCACACCCCTTCCACCCTCCCTCCCACCCTATTGCCAAATCCTTCCACATAGGGGATGTCTAGAGTCTATCATTTTACTCAAGTTTTATAAATGAAAATGTTTCATTGTGGCTGCCTTATACTTTCAGAGGTTTAGTATATTATCATTATGGCAGGCATGGTGCTGAGAGTCCTGCATCTTGATCCGCAGGCAGCAAAAGGAAAAAAAACTGTGTTCCACAGTGTGTATAGCTTGAGCATATAAGACCTCAAAGTCCACCCTCACAGGAACACACTTCCTCTAAGAAGGCCACAGCTATTCCAACAAGGCCACACCTCTGATAGTACTTTTCTCTATGGGCTAAGCATTCAAACACATTAGTATATGAGGGCCATACTATTTAAACCACCACACCCTGCTTATTATATTACCCAGTATCAGCTATGTAGTATGGTGAAAAAACACCTGATGTCACTCAAGCAATCTACTTAGCTTCATAGCTCCCAAATGCCACAGTCCTAGGTCACATGTGGTAGAGTTATGGGAGATATTCTATACAGCCTACAGCACAATCACCATGGAGACCAGAAAGATAGATGCAAACATTATTTCACATGCCCTGTCAAAGATCTCTCTCTCTCTCTCTCTCTCTCTCTCTCTCTCTCTCTCTCTCTCTCTCTCTCTCTCTCTCTACACACACACACACACACACATACACACACATACATACACACATCTTTCTCTGTCTCTCTCTTGCTCTGAGCCTACATTCATAGAACCATAGATCATGGTGCCAAAGCCCTAGAAATATTTGTGCATGTCCTCTAGGATTTATAGAGGCTATTTATAGATATAAAATTGTCTTAAAATGGCTGCCAGTGTAACAAGTCCAAGGATCACTTAAAATCACCCTTTAGAATTATTGAAGAGTATATGCCACAGCTTCCAGTCTGAGGTACATCCTAAGACTCCAGCAGACAGATATTAGCTTAGTTGAAGTCCTAGTATAACCTGTTCTTGCTCTCAAGGTCTCAGCAGGAAGGTCCATCCTTCATATTTTACACTTCATATTATGCAGAGAGACTGTTTGTCAATGGTTTCTACAAACATATGCCCTCAGAACCTGATTGTGTACTACATAAAGATACACATACCTTCAGAAGGTTTGTTCACAGCCTCCATGGATCACTGCAGTCTAGGATAATGAAGCACTTATAGATATTGTTAACATGATTCAAGCCAAAACTATTATAATGAGACTGCTATTCCAAATTAACTTCTCATCTGTAATATTTTTCAAAGGAGCCATCCAGATGATGCTGTATAAATTATTAAAATAAAAATATCACCTTAGCAAAAGCTCTGACACATGACCCCTGCTCTTCCAGAAGGCATGCTGGTATTCAGAATCCCAAGTAAGATCCCACCCAAATATCTAAAATGGTTCCTCAAAGACAACCCAGTTTACCTAACAGCAACTTCTCCCCTTATCTCCAAACCCCAGCTCACAATCCCTGCTCTACCAGAGGCCACACCTGTATTCAGAACTCTAGGTAAGACCTGATCCAGAGACCTCTAATACTCCTTATTATAGCAGGTCTTTCTTTGGACCCTGAGCTCCTGAATAATGACACAGAAACTTTATAGTAATTATGGAATGTTGGCCTTAGCTTAGACTTGTTCCCAAGTAGCTTTTAAAACTTAAATTAACCCACTTAAATTAATCTATATTTTGCCACATGGATCATTACCATACATCTGACTTCTTCCTCATTCATTTGGCAAATCTCTATCCTCAGATTATTTCTCAGAGTTACCATCTCTCCCAGAAGTGGAAGTTATCCTCTCCTGTCTAGCTAGGGGCCATTGAGCTATTTATTAAACCAATCACAAGATGAATTTCAGCAGATGAGGAAGGACAGAGAACATGACAATGTACAAAAACATTGTCCCAACATCTTTTAGTTCAATAAAACTCTTTCTCTAACATCTATGAACTATATAAAATAAGAACAAATATTAAGCAAGATTTACATTCATAATTTTAATTTGGCAGGTTTAGGAGAAAATACTCTCTTATTTATCCTGCCTTGGTGAATCAAAAGTTTTGTGCTTAAATCACTTTCTGTCATAACTTGTATTACCAACTTAAAAATATCCTTTTAGACCTGAAAATAATGTGTTATATAAACAACATAAGCTTTTATGTCTCTCAACCTTTATAAACTTTATATCACTTTTGTGAGTTTTGTTTCTGAATTTAGTAACAAGCAGAAATGTAAAACTATAACTGTCTATTCTGCAACCCCATCTGAGACCTGAAAGGGAAAAATATTACCCTAGTAAAAGGAAGTGCTGAGCAAACTACAGAAATACAAACATCTGCCTGCCTGGAATGTCACCCAAAGTTCCCATGTAATGTTGGAGCATCTATTTTTGGCCTACAGGCCCAGTTTATCTGGCAGACTTTTCTGTGAAGTAGGAATCTTGAAAGGCTTGTCTACTTTGCCTTGGCAAAGTTCAGCAGTCAAGTTTCTTTGTGTCCTTCTTGTTCAATTTTAACAGCATAGTGTCAACAATTAGGCAAGGACAACTTCTTACCCCGTGACTAGATTTGTCACATTTCAAGCAAACTCCATATGGAGGCTCTTCCATGTCCAATAGCTTCTTGGAAGTAGATTGGGGCTGCCAGAAGCACATGTGTCTCATTGTCATGAAAAACACTATGCTATTAAAACATCTTAAATACTATATTCTGTTGATTTCTGAAGTGTTTGAAGACCACCTCTCTATCTGAAATATATCCCTGTTCAACTATGAAAGCATACCTAACATGACTACAAGTTTGATTGTTAGAGGTGACTAAATACTAACCATCATTTCTTAATTATCATAAACAGTTTGTAATAGTTACTTTCAAGGACTAGAACTTTATATTAAATTTTTAAATGATCTGTTTAAATTGTTTTTCTGTTCTTGATTTAACTTTGGTAAGTGATATCTATTCAGAAAATCATCCATTTCCTTTAGATTTTCCAATTTAGTGGAGTACAGGTTTTCAAAGTACGACCTGATGATTCTTTGGATCTCCCCAGTGTCTGTTGTCATGTCACCTTTTTCGTTTCTGATTTTGTTAATTAGCATGTGATCTCTCTGTCTTTTGGTTAGGTTTGATAAAGGTTTATCTATCTTGTTGATTTTCTCAAAGAACCAACTCTTTGTTTCACTGATTCTTTGTATTGTTTTCTTTGTTTCTACATTATTAATTTCAGCTCTCAATTTGATTAGTTCCTGGCATCTATTTCTCCTTGCTCTATCCCCAAAACCCATGTGACCTGGAACACAAGAGGCCATACCTCCATCCAGAACTCTAGAGGTCATACAGGTACCCAGAAACCCACGGCTCTACCAGAGGTCATGCTGGTACTGGCTTTTGGCACCCTACTCATACTGAGTTGCCTTGCTCAGCATTAATGAATAGGTAGGTGCTTAGTCTTACTGCAACTTGATACACCATTTTATTTATATTCATGAGAGATCTGTCTTTTCTTGGATGGAAACAGAGGAAAAGGGAGTGGGCGGATGGGAGAAGGAGAGGATTGTAAGGGAGGAGGAGGGCTGTGAAGGAAGCATGGTAGGAGGCTGCAGCTGGAATGTAAAATAAATACATGAATAATAATAATTTAAAAAGAACTTCAGGAGGCTTTACCATTCCTGATCACAAGTTCTATTACAGAGCTATAGTAATGAAAACTACATGGTTTTGATATAAAAACAGACAGCTTTATAGATAAAATGGAATCAAAGACCCAGGTATTAATCTACACACTAATAGACACCTGAGTTTGACAAAGAAGCCAGATTACACAATGGAAAAAAAGGACACTTCTTCATTAAATGGAACTGGTCTAACTAAATGTAGAAGAATGCAAACAGATCCATATCACTCTGCACAAATGTATCAACTCCTCAACTTAAATCCACTTACATTAACTCTGAAGAGAAAGTGGGGAATAGCCTTGAACATCTTGGCACAGGAGACAATTTTCTGAACAGAATACCAATAGTGCAGGTACTATGATGAACAATTATTAAGCAGTCCTCATGAAACTTAAAGGCTTCCATAAGGCAAAGGAACCATCAATAGAACAGCATGACAGTATACAGAATGGGAAAGGATCTTCACCTACTCCACATTTGATAGAGGGATAATTTCTAAAATATGTGAAGAACTCAAGAAACCAGACATCAACAAGCCACATAATCCATTTTTTAAAAAATGGGGCAAAATGGAAGGCCTCAGCCTCTCTGAGGAGCAGAAAGGGTTGGGATAGGGGTTCGTTGGGGCCAGGGGAGGAGGGGAGGGGTAGGGAACTGGAATTGACATGTAAAACAAGCTTGTTTCTAATTTAAATAAAAAGAGAAAAATAAATAAAATAAAAAATGGGCTACATATCATATGACTGTTTATAAACTAAAAAACAAAAAACAAAAAAAGAGAGAGTGATTTCCCCTCTAAAAAATCATGGGGTACAGATCTAAACAGAATTCTTAACAGATGAATCTCAAATGGCCAAGAAGCAGTTAAAGAGATGTTGAACATCCTCAGCCATCAGGGAAATGCAAATCAAAGCAACTCTTATAGTCAGTCTTATCCCAGTTAGAGTGGCTAAGATCAAAAACATAGTGATAGCTCATACTGTAGAGGATGTGGAATACTCTTCCATAGCTGGTGGGAGGGAAATCAATATGGAAGTTCTCAGAAAGTTGGAAATCCACCTACCTCAAGACACACATTTGCCACTCCTGTACAAATATGGAAAAGGCATTCCATCCACAAAAAAACCCAGTTGCTCAACTGTTTTCACAACAGTTCTATTCACAATAGCCAGAAACTCAAAACAATCTAGATGCTCCTCAAGCAAAGAGTGGTTAAGGAAAATGTGTTACATTTACATAATGGAGTATTACTCACCATTAAAAATTAATGGTATGAAATTTCTAAGCAAATGGATAGACTAGAAAAAAATCATTTTGAATGAGGTAGCCCAAATCCAGAAAGGCAAACAAATTTTACACTCACAAATGGATATTAATAGTAAAGTAAAGGACAATTATCCTGCAATCCACAGACCAAGAGAATAAGTAACAAGGAATGCTCAAAAGGAAAGTCTCCCTATTAAGGGGAAATAAAGTAGATATTTTAGGTAGGTTGGGTGCTGGTGCAGTCAGGATCTAGGGGGATCATGCTGGAGTAGAACGGAGGGAGAGAGTACCAGAATTGGGGACTGAGCATCTTAGGGATGAGCTAGAAACCTAGTGTAATGGATCCAGGAATCTACAAGGGTGACCCTCACTAAGACTCTTTACAATGGGGAATAAGGAGACTGAATACTCCATGTCTTGTAACTGAACAAGAATTCCAGTGAGGGAATTGGAACACCAACCTAGCTACAAAACCTTAGATGTATAATTTGTCCTCTCTGTAAAACTTACTGTGGTAAAGGTGGTACAGAAATAATGGGAGTGGCCAACCATGGACTGGACCAGCAGAGACCCATGCCACAAGAAGAAACCCACTCGGAGACTGCCAGGAGAGCCAGGAACTAGAGTCAGGATAGCTCAGAGAGCTAGGATAGAACTAAACATTAACAACAAAAACAAGAACAAACAAAAAGGTGCAATGAAATGATTCCTAATGCTACTCTCCTATATACTTGTATTCGGGACCCTAGCATAATCACCACCAGACAGGGTTCATTTAGCAACTGGTGGAAGCAGATGCAGAGATTAGTCAAACATTAGGCAGAAGTTGAGAAATCATGCAGAAAACGGAGGAGGTTCATCTTTCAGTCATTCTCATTCAAGTGTTTCCTGTGTTACCCTAGGTAATCTCTGTGACTTAGCAGAAATCATAGCAGTCTATTTAGCCATTGTAGATTCTCCCTCATCAATATAACTCGAACATTAGACTTTTCTTAAAGTCACTTGAACGCATTAGTTTTCCCAAATAATATGAAGTGATTTTATTTGTATGTTATTCAATTTTAATAACATTAAATCTGATCGGTGTGTATGTTACAGTCAATCTACCAGTGTTTTTTCCTTCTAATTCTACCTCTGCAGTTACATTTGATCCACAGCAAATAACCCACAACCTAAAAAGCAAGATTATGGAAATTGTGTTCCCAGTACTAGAGCAATGGTCAGTCATGCTTGTTGTGTAAGTATGAGAACATTCATTTGGAGTCATAATACTCTTGTATTAGAAGTCTGAGGTGGTAGCTCTTACCTGGAAATCCAGTATTCAGTACTATGACATGGGGACATGAAGACCCCAGTAGCTCAGGGGCTAGTCATCTTAGCTGAAATGGAAAACTCTAGGTTCAATGAGAGACCTAGAATTGCTGTTTCACTCAACAAGCAAAGAAGATCCAAAAAAGAAGATACACAGTCACCCAATGTTCTCCCCACATACACACAGATCTTCACATCTACAAAAATGTACACACACATACAGATATGGTATCTCATAGTCAGTGGATAGAAATCAGGTAGAGTACTATTTTACAATGAATGAAAGTCTGGGTTTAATCCTCTCAACAATGTAAACAAGTTTATGATTACAGCACTTGAGACGTGGAGATGTTAAAATCAGAACTTCAAGGAGGTTTGAGGCAAGCCAGGTCTGTATAACACCCCATGTCCAAACCAAACAAAATAGATTTCCATATTAAACTATTTCTGAAAATTTTTTGGAATAGGTAGCACCTTCCTGTTTTCTAGTATTTTCACTTACATCAGTATAATGCTATCACTTTATTCCATATCTTCATTTATAATCGTAGCCAGTAAATATCTAAGTATCTAAATTTTACTTTGTTCAAACTCTTTCATTACACATACACATTTTAAATTAATTCATTTTCATACTCAGTGTTGAAGAAAATTTCGTCAAAATATAAAATTCTATCAATTTATTTAAACCAATTCACTTTTACACATATCATTATTGCTGCGAAATAATTGAATTGATTAAAAATCAAATGATTATGATATTATAGAGGTCTACAGACAGATGGAGATACAGTTAATTGGTTGATCATAAAGCTACAGAGTTGGAAGGCACTTTATAGACAAGAAAGGGACAGTGATTTTGTGGTTTTAGGAAAATAAATCTCTATTTCTACTTAGAGCATTAGTAATGGCTTCCCAAATATCAGTAATTCAAATTGAACTGGCTACATTACTGTGAAATAGTCATGCCAGTTTATAGGCTAGAATGGATTTCAATGTTTTCAATAATCATCGATTTGTTTCATTGATACTAAGAGTCGTCCCTGTGGCAACTTATATGCCATAAAGTCCATTTCTACCTAGTTTAACAAAAACAGTAGAAAGAATCTCTTTCCAAAGAGTCTGGGTGAAAACATTCAGGTTTTACTCTCATTTATTCATTGAACTTGAACAAATGAAATGAAATCTGAGCAGCTAGTGTACAATAGGATAGAGATATAACCAGTCCCAACTTGACTGGAAACCAAGAATGAACAATAAGTGGTCATTCAAAACTTATTATGTGTCTCCAGATACAAGGGGAGATGAATGCTGATCAAGCAAAATAGTAAGTGTACATTGTACCACACACAAAATAAAATATGCAGTAGATGGTTATTCTTGTTTATACAAAGATTTTCATTCTAAAATAGTAAATGGAGTCCATAAAAATGACACAAAATCAATCAACCACAGAAAAATTTTACATCTCAAATGTACCAAAATAGTTTCCCTTCAGTTACATTTTCATATCAGTGGAATGAATTATATCTTCTGCAATCTTAGCTGCCCTGTTCTAGTGGCTAAACAGAGCAAATAACTCAGGTGAAGTAGCCTTGCTCTCTCTGTGTCTCTCAGTATAGTATTCTGTTTCTATATACATATTTATCATATACATGATGCATTTCAATTCTTCTCAGAGTGTCCATTAAGGTCAGAGAGTATGTATGATTCTAGTCTGAAGAGCTCAGTAAATATATTGAATTTTCCCTTGATGTAATTCATTTATCAACTCTTACTTTCTTAGGGTTCTCTCAAGAATAAATATGTGAACACACAGAACCTTTGCATAGGCAAACAGTTCCCTATGACACCTATTCTATGTGGAAATTGCTTTATACTTGCATGCATTTCTACATTTGCTTCATTTGTCTTTCATTTATCTTTAAGCTCTCTCTCTCTCTGAATTCTGTTCTATAAAATTACAACTGTTCTTGAGTCTTCACTATACTTGGGCAGCCATGCTCCACAAACTCATCATGTTATTAAATTTCTCTGCTCATAGTCTTTTCTGCATGTCTCTGTCATTTGAAATAAATTTTCAAAGATCTATCTATAGTCTTATTTTTTAGGCCATCTTTTTTATTAAGCTGCACTCAGCAGTGATTATAAATAACCCTGAGAAAAGATCCCCATCTCTGAAGCCCAGTGGTGGTAGTGCACGTCTTTAATCCCAGCACTCAGGAGGTAGAGGCATGCAGATCTCTGTGAGTTTGAGACCAGCCTGGTCTACAATAGCTAGTTCCAGGAATCCTCCAAAGTCACAGAGAAACTCTGTCTAAAAAAAATCAAAAACAATAACAACAAAAAGATATACATCTCTGATTTATTACAAAGTCTCTCCTAATAATTACAAAAACAAAAGAGAAGATCAGCATGTTAGTGCATGCCTGTAACCAAATATTTGCATGATGGAGACAAAGGTTTGTGAGTTCAAGGATCCTCTTCAGCAACACTGGGAGATAGAGGCCATTCTGGGCTACACAAGACTAACACAAACACAAAGAGGTGAGAATGGAGAGAAAACAAAAACATGTGTGCCACAATGAGGGATAAATTCTTTTAAGAACAATCTCAGTGTTTTCTTAATTTATACACTCCCCTAATAGATAGACATATTTTAATCTCCAGAGAAAATTAATCCTCAAATGTTTTAAGGATGTAGTTTTAAGTGGCAAAGCAAGGCTACAGTTTGTCGCCTTCTAGCCTGCATATTCAATTCGTGTTTCTGCTCAGTCCATTCTTTTGCAAAGTTCACCTCCCAACTAACTGTTTATTTCTATACTGCCAAAGAGCTAGAGAAATTGTCACTTTGAAACTGGTCAGTCCTAACAAACCATTATAATATAATATAATATAATATAAATTTCATCCTCTCCTGTAAGATATCTATTCTGAAATGAAAAAAATAAAGCAACAACAAAAATTAAACTACAGTGAGTGTTCCTATAGTGTCAAGAGATAGCCTTTTAATTGTGTTATTCAGAGTAGCAGTTAGACAATATGCTCATTTCACTTGTGTATTCAAAGTCTTGCATAGAGTAGAGTCTTAGTAAATATCACTTAGTCTATTGTCTTTTACTAATAACATAACACTATACACTGTCTGCATTATTATGCAAAAGGGTTTGCTTTGATAGGAAGTCTGGTATAAGATTTCTGGACTGCATCTTGAGATTTTTTTCTGTGAGATTCACAGGGCAGTTCTGTGTGTCACATAGTGGGAGATAGGAAGCATATGAGAGACTTAGCCAAGCTCATATTTTATAGCAGACCCATTCTCAGATAACCTCTAAATCTTATAGTTGATTAATATTTTAATTGCATTAGTAAATTAATACATTTATAACAGCACACCCAAAATCACCCTTTTAAGTATCTCAACTTAACTCACCTTTTATATTTTATAATGGCAATGAAATTTTAAATGGAGTGTAAGAATGGACAACCCATATTGAAACTAGAGCAGCTTGCTTACAGAATAAAGTACATAGAGACATGTTAGTGAATATTATATGACATGGTGTTGAAAGGGTTTTGGAGTGGAGGTTCAAGGGGGGGCACTGAAGAGAATTGTCCTTTGAAGTAAGAGATTGTCAAAGGACTTGTTAACACAGCAGACACCCAGGTAGACAGCAGCTGGTGGAAGCTGAGAAGAGTACATGCCTATGTCAGCACAAAACATACAGCTCCCATCTTAAATAGATTAAGAAATAGTTTTTCTGGAAACATTTTGAGTGACCATGGCCCAGGGACACAGATTTAACTTACCACAGATTATATGTTCCAATGTGGTAGTCTCATGAAGGTTTACAGTCTTATGTGCCAGAGAAAGTCATAAATCATGCTGAAGTAGATTGATGGGTAAATCAGAGAAGGTGGTTAAAGTAAGACAGGAAGTTTTTCTATAGATACAAGATATCATCTGAAGACATTATTAACTTTCAGATTGGTGGAAGCTAGAGGCTTGCTAAATTAACAGATTGTAAAAGGATGGTATTTATTACTCACAGAATATTAGTTCTGACACAAAGTTTGGCAAAAATGGCTATTATGGGTGCTAAAACCATCCCAAAATATAATAAGCCGACTGTAGCCCTGAAACCTTCATCTCTCCACAGTGTCACTATAGTACCACTGTTCTAATCAGTCAATTAGTCTCTGCAGACACAGTTTCTTTCCAGGATTTCTTGTCCATACCTAACTGACCAAGTGACAGTCTGTCTTAGATGTTTCGGAGGAAAGGAGGGCCATCGATGCTATTTGTTTGATGAGTAGTCCACAGTATATTTCTGCTGTCTTGCTGTACCAAGTATGAGAGTGGAGAGGACAAGAAGCTAGAAAAGTGACTTGTTTTGTTTCTGCACCATTGCTGCTATATTTGAAATTGTTCTATTTGAACAACAATGTGCAGTCCTGACTCAAAGATAGATTCTATTTCATTATATTTTTAACTGGAAATAATTTTTCATATGATATATTCTGATCATGGTTTCCTATATCTTATTTCCTCCTGGACCCTGCCAATCTTACCATCCTTCCAACTTTAGCCCTTCTTTCTCTCTTTTTAGAAAACAAATAGGCAAATGAAACAAAATAGAATGTGACAAACAATGAAAAAAGTAGGAGACGTTATAGATATAGAGACACATACCAACAAACACCACAAAAACACATACAAGCAAAAAACGAAGATGCTTAAAATGAAACCCCCAAATTAGCAATAAAAATCTCCATGAACATATTTGAGTTCATTTTCTGATGTGTTTTTGATGGCATATACCTGGTGAGATTTAGAAGTGGGATGTGTAAATATGTCCTATAATAGTGTTATTTATTATTCTTTTCTTCGTACTCTATAGTA